GAGAGAGAGAGAGAGAGAAAATTATTGCTTTTATACAAATTAAAAAATATTATAACGCGTTCTATTAAATTAATTAAATGTATCAAAGCTTTACTTTTTAAATTGATCGGAGTCAATTAAATGAAGTGCAGTTTTTAAATTAATTAAAATTGATCAAATTTAATTATAATTATATTACATATTTATATAATTACCGTGGCAATTTGAATCTGGACCCAGATAATTTCAATAAAGTTTCAAAATTAATTGGATTAAATTATATTTAATTTTAATCGTATCACATATGTATACAATAGAAAATTATAAAATTATATATAATTTATTAAACTTCGTTACCTAATCTTTTTATAAGTTATTCCAATTGCGCTTTTAGGGCGACAACATGCTGGCGTACATGATCAATTCGTACATACGCTACGGCTACGAGTATCTCGGCAACACGTCACGCCTGGTGATCACGCCGCTGACGGACCGCTGCTATCGCACTCTCTTCGGCGCTTTGAGCCTGCATCTCGGTGGCGCGCCCGAAGGACCGGCCGGTACCGGCAAAACGGAGACCACGAAGGACCTCGCGAAGGCCGTGGCGAAACAGTGCGTGGTGTTCAACTGTTCGGAGGGCCTCGACTACATCGCGCTCGGCAAGTTCTTCAAAGGCCTCGCTTCGTGCGGCGCCTGGTCCTGCTTCGACGAATTCAATCGCATCGACCTGGAGGTACTGTCAGTCGTCGCACAGCAGATCCTGACGATTCAGTGCGCGATCAATGCCGGCGCCGAGAAGATGACGTTCGAGGGCACCGAGATCTATCTCGATCCCACCTGCGCGATCTTCATCACGATGAACCCGGGCTACGCCGGCAGAACCGAGCTGCCGGACAACCTGAAGGCGCTCTTCCGCCCGGTCGCCATGATGGTGCCCGATTACGCGCTCATCGCGGAGAACACTTTGTACTCTTACGGCTTCTACAACGGCCGACCGCTGGCCGTGAAAATCGTCACCGCTTACAAGCTTTGTTCGGAGCAGCTCAGTAGCCAGCATCATTACGATTACGGAATGCGAGCGGTCAAGTCCGTGCTGATCGCCGCCGGCAACCTAAAGCTGCGCTATCCTCAAGAGTCCGAGGACATCTTGATGCTGAGGAGTATCCTAGATGTCAATCTGCCCAAATTCTTGGTCCACGATCTGCCGCTTTTTGAAGGTGGAAGTTTTCTCATTTTCTAATTTAGAGGCAAAATCTTTTGCAATTAAAATCTTATATTTTTGACGATGAAAATAAGTATATGCTTCCAGTTTCTCATAACAAGCGAAATTCATTTATCCAGGAATAGCGTCGGATCTGTTTCCCGGCGTAATATTGCCGACGCCGGATTACACGCACATCAATGCGTGCACGCGTGAAGCCTGCGCCGCGGCGAATCTGCAGTGCACGGATTTCTTCCTGCAGAAGATCCAGCAGATTTACGAGATGATGATCGTGCGTCACGGTTTCATGATCGTCGGTCTGCCGTACGGCGGCAAGACTTCGGCGTACAGGATGCTGGCGGATTGTCTCGGCCGTCTGGAGGACCGCCAGCTGATGGACGAGCATCGCGTCGAGATCACCGTCATCAATCCCAAGGCCATCACTATGGGCCAGTTGTACGGCCAGTTTGATCCAGCCTCGCACGAGTGGAGCGACGGTGTTCTGGCAGTGGCGTACCGAGCCTTTGCCAGTTCCACTAATTTGAACAGAAAGTGGCTCGTCTTTGACGGACCAGTGGACGCTCTCTGGATCGAGAACATGAACACTGTGTTGGATGACAATAAAAAGCTCTGTCTCACTTCTGGCGAGATTATCCAGCTCGCGCCCACGACGAATCTGATCTTCGAGCCCATGGATCTGGAGGTAATTGGAAATTTTACAATGTAATCGCAGTATCGAGAATTTATTAGTTTATTAAAATACATTCGTCGGAAATGCTCAATTTATCTTTGTATCGTGTTACAATTAATTTTAATTCCAACTGCAATCCAAGTAATTTAAATATAATTTTTCACTTAATTGGAATAAATCATATTTAATTTTGCAATTATATTAAAATTATAAAATTATGTGACATTGTGATTCAATTCAATTCAATGTAAGTCTCAAATATCGCTACGTAAAATCGATATCCTCGCAACTCTGTTGCCGGGAATAAAAATTTTTATCAATAACACATAAGATAAACATTATATCTGAATTGAATGGAAGCGCAAACACTCGAGCGAAGCGTCCCCTTTCACTAGGTTGCGTCGCCCGCTACGGTATCGCGATGCGGCATGATCTACATGGAACCGGTGAGCCTCGGCTGGACGCCGCTTTTGATCTCGTGGCTGAACACATTGCCGGCCACTTTTGGCGAGCGCATGAAGAGCCACTTGAAGGACATGTATCTCCGATTTTGCCCGCCTCTATTGCATTTGATCCGCCGCTGCGGCGCAAAGGTGAATGCTATTTAAACCACTCTCTTCAAAATTTCAAACATGCAGATTCTTCCAAACGTGTTATTATCTTCAATTTATGTGGATGAAAATATTTTTAGCAGAGCAATAAAATTTGCGAGTCAAATTTCTCATAAAAATTTTGGAAGCTAGAAGTTGTCTTTTTTGTCTACAGGAAATGGTAACGATGCCGGATGCTAATCTTACGCGCTCGGTTATGCATCTGTTCGACTGCTTTCTGGATGATTTTCACGATGAAAAGTATGTAGGTGCGCTTTCGGACTTGGACATGAGAGCGCAAGTAGAAGTGAGTCTTAATAAATGATATTTGACTGTTTTTTATTCATTTCACAATAATAATCAGACACTCAGATTAATTGATCTTAGTTAAATTAGTTTTAATAAAATTATAAAGAGTTTTTATCGCAAAATTAATTCTAAATAATTGATTATGTTAAATTGTTACATTCATTATTTGTACATTCAATCTACCAAACTTGGATGATTTCCGAGAAGCAGAACAGCAACTTTAATAACAAAGTATTTAAGAAAATGTCAATTTTTGGTAAAAGGGCAGCTTTTTCTTCTCGTGCATTTGGGCGATGGGCGTTACGCTGATGGTCGACTACCGCGAGTGGTTCAGCGTGCTCTTTCGAGCATTGGTAAACACCAAATTCCCAGAAGACGTGCGGAAGCGCTTCGACATCCCGCCGGAAGTCGGCGATCCGACAAAGCCCTACGTGCTCCCTCCGCCGTCCGCCGGTTCAGTCTTCGATTACAAGTTTATTAAGGAAGGTAGAGGCAGATGGCAGTCCTGGCTCGCGGATCTGAAGGATTTACCACCAATCCCGAGAGACGTGCCGGTGAACCAGATCATCGTCTTCACGGTGGAGACCGTGAGATACTTTCATCTCTTCCGGCACCTCGTCTGCCATCACAAGCCGATCCTTCTGGTCGGCCCGACTGGCACCGGCAAGTCTGTCTACATCATGGAGTTTCTACTAAAAAGAAACAACCCCGAAGTCTTCAAGCCGCTGTTCGTGATATTCTCGGCGCAGACCACGGCGAATCAGACGCAGGACATCATCATGAGCAAGCTGGACCGTCGGCGAAAAGGTTCGTCGATTCGTTTGAGATAACTTCGATAGTTGTCGTCAAATTATTTTTGTCAGAAGTATACAAAAAATATGAGATGGAAAAGTAGAATTGTCAGCTCTGCCACTTTTATCATTATTAAAATCATTAATCAATCAAAGGAGTTTAAAGTAAAGTGTTTAAAACTTTCGATTTGTGAGCTCGTAAATGAATGAAATATAAGCATCGCAGATGATTGAACCATCGTAAAAATGAACTGTTATTACTGCAATTCAATAATTATTCGCAACAAGGTCTGTACGGTGCCCCTCCCGGCCAGTACTGGGTGGTCTTCGTGGACGACGTATCTATGCCGCAGCGGGAAGTGTTTGGCGCGCAGCCACCGATCGAGTTACTGCGCCAGTGGCTGGACCATCAGACCTGGTACGATTTGAAAGACGTAGTGCCCATTAGACTGATAGATGTCCAGCTGATTTGCGCAATGGGCCCGCCCATGGCCGGTCGCGACGTCACGCCGCGCTTTAAGCGGCACTTCGTCACGCTGACGATCCCCGAGTTTGACGACGATGTCCTCATCACCATCTTCGGCCAGATCACCGCCTGGCACTTCGCCGTTCGAGGCTTCCCGGCGCTCTTCGATCCCTGCGTGGATTACGTGGTCCACGGCACTCTCGATATATACAAAGAGACCAGGAAGTACCTGTTGCCGACACCCGCCAAATCGCATTATCTGTTTAATCTGAGGGATTTCTCGCGAGTTATTCAAGGCGTGCTGCTTTCAACTCCCGAAGCCATTCCTGATTCGGTATTTAGCGATCTTGATTGCTAGAGTACAAATTGCGAGATGAATGAATTAATAATAATTATTGTATATTATTACATAATTGTCTTTAATATTTGTTTTTACATTTTTCTCCCTGAAAGGTCTTACGCTTATTTTTTTTTTTTAATTAATTGCAATGCTCTTATATTATTTTTATTTGACAACAAAATTATATTAAATTTGTATCTTTTCGTTTAATCAATTTTCAAGGTCTCCATGAAGCGTTTGTGGGTTCACGAGGTGCTGCGCGTCTACGGAGACCGATTGGTCGACGAGGCCGACAGTAGGTGGCTGGTGGAACAAATTCGGAAAACCATGAGAGAGTACATGGACGACGATATGGATCATCTCTTCGAGGACTTAATGGATGAGCCTGGCATGCAGCTGACGGAGGTACAATTGCGGAATCTCATCTACTGCGACTTCCACAATCCGGTCGCTGATCAGAAGCGGTACACGGAAATTAGCGACTGGGACGCGCTTGCCGTCGCGGTGGAAGAATATCTTGCGGAGTACAACGAGATCTCGAACACGCCCATGGATCTCGTGCTCTTCAGGTGCGCTTTTGATTGAACTGGAAAGAAAGATAGATATAGTTTAGTAATTATATAAAATTAAGTATTGTAAAAATTTATTTAGATTTCAAAAATGATTAATTGAAAATTGTGTTGCTCAATTGATGTGAGATGATGATTAATATTCATCTTTGATTTTTGAAATTGTGAATTAATGAAATATTAGATGTAGACGTCATAGATAACGAATCTAAATAACTGAAAAAATTAAGTAAATTTTTATTTAGGCGATTTTACACAATATTGAAAACAATAAGGACAATTATATATTAAAATAGCAGCATATTAAAACTAAAATAATTATTTTAACTATAATTATTAATTCAATCCTAGATTCGCCATAGAACATCTCTCAAAAATCTGCCGAGTGATGATGCAGCCACGCAGCCACGCTCTTCTGGTCGGCATGGGCGGTTCCGGTCGGCAGTCTCTGACAAAATTGGCATCGCACATATCCGACTACGAGCTCTTCCAGGTGCAGATATCCCAGTTGTACGGCATGCACGAATGGCACGAGGATCTGAAGAACATTCTGCGAAAGAGCGCCGCGAGCGACTTGCACACGGTCTTCCTCTTCATGGACACGCAGATCAAGGAGGAGGCCTTCCTGGAGGACATCAGCAATCTCCTCAACTCTGGCGAGGTTCCTAATCTCTTCGTGGCTGAAGAGAAGTCCGAGATCTGCGAAAAAATGCGTATCATCGATCGGCAGAGAGACAGGTTTCATTCACTTAAATTATTTATGTTTTTGAATAAAATAATTGGCAATAACATTAGAGTCATTCGACGCAAGAAATAATTCTTTAAAACTTGCAAAATTGCATGAATTAAATTTACACGCTACAAAATTATATTTTTCTAAGTACGTACATTTATATAATTTTGTCAATAACGTAAGTTAAAAATTGATAAAATGCATTAACTAAATCATCAATGCATTTGAAACCTTTTTTATCGCACACAGGGCCTTGCAGACGGACGGCAGTCCGGTGGCGCTCTTCAACTTCTTTGTGCAGACTGTGCGCGAGCACTTACACATCGTGGTGACGATGTCGCCGATTGGTGATAGCTTCCGCACGCGGATCCGCAAGTTCCCGGCGCTCGTCAACTGCTGCACCATCGACTGGCTGCAGCCGTGGCCGGAGGACGCGTTGCTCGCGGTCGCGACAAAGTTCCTCGGCGAGATCGACATGCCGCAGGACGAGCGTCGCGCCTGCATCGAGATGTGCCAGTACTTTCACACGTCGACGCACGACCTGACACAAGACTTCCTGCGCCAGCTGCGACGTCACAATTACGTCACGCCGACGTCCTACCTGGAACTCATCAACACATTCAAGGATCTGCTGGATCGAAAGAGGAAGGAAGTGCTGGAGGGCAAGAGAAGATACGAGGCGGGCCTCGGCAGGCTCGACGATACGCGCAAAGAAGTCAGCAGGATGCAAGAAATTCTGGTAGCTCTGCGGCCGAAGTTGCTGATCGCCGCGAAGGATGTCGAAGGTATGTTCCTGGATGTGCAGCGTGAGAACGAAGAAGCCAGCATGATGGAGCAGGTCGTTAAAAAGGACGAGGAAGCTGCTATGGTGAGAACAGACGTCGGAATTTGAAATATAATTTATATTGGTATATTTTTAAAGATGTTAATTAATAAATTTTAATTATCACTTTTAATTATATTTTAATTAATATTTCAGACATTGAGGTTTTAACACGCAAAATTGATCAATTTCGATATCGGAAATTTGATATTTTGATGTATCAAAAAATAATTTATTTTATAAAAAATTGAATTCTTTAATTATTTCTTATAGGTAATAATTTTGAGCAAATGTTCAGGAGAAATTTAGCAATTCTTATATCTGTAGATCGTCGCAGCGGCCGCCGAAGAGATTCGCGCCGAGTGCGATGCGGATCTTCAGGAAGTAATGCCGATACTGAATGCGGCGAACGAAGCTTTGAACACGTTGACTCCGCAGGACATCCAGATCGTCAAATCCATGAAACGGCCGCCGGCCGGCGTGCGGTTGGTCATGGAAGCTGTTTGCATACTGAAGGTAAATAATTATAAAACAAACAATACAATTAAACTCTATTTAAAAAATTAATTTTTAAATTATCAATTTTTTCTAATTGTGTTAATATAATATATTTTATCTATTAAAAATACTTCTAAAAAAGGTAAAGATAAAAAGGTACATACAAGAACGTAGGCTAATCTCTCTTAAATATTGTTTCATAGTTATCTAATTCCTTCTGTTCAAAAATGTTCTTGAAAATTGCAGGACGTAAAACCGGAGAAGGTGCAAGGACCAGAAGGTCCAATGGACGACTACTGGAAGCCGTCACTTCGCATTCTCGGTGACATACGCTTTCTCGAATCGCTGCTGAACTACGATAAGGACAATATTCCAGAGCGAATTATGACTAACATTCGCACGACGATTTTGACGAATCCGAACTTCGATCCGGAACGCATCAGGCAGGTGTCCACCGCGTGCGAGGGTCTCTGCCGCTGGGTGTTCGCTCTTTCGGAATACGACAAGGTCGCTAAAGTAGTGGCGCCGAAGAGGCAGGCGCTAGCCGAGGCTCAGGCCGATTACTCCGCGGCGATGGAACAGCTGAACCTGAAAAGGAAGCAGCTGCAGGAGGTCCGAGAGAGGCTAGCACGGCTGGAGACGCTTTTGGCGCAACGAAGAGCTGAATATCAGGCGATGACTGACGAGGTGAAGGAGTGCGAGGAAAAGCTGAGGAGAGCCGAGGAGCTGATCGGCGGCCTCGGCGGCGAGTACACCAGATGGTCTGAGACCGCCAAGTAATGATGACACTTAATTTTCGTTCGCTAGTGTTGAATTAATCAGAGATATATCAAGTTTGACAAGAGACGACGCGATCTTTCATTTTTTAAATAGAAAAAAGTGGCGATGCAAAAAATAATAAAAAGTAAACTTATTTTTTAATACATCGTGGTTAATGATAAAAGTTTGTTTCTAGGTCGCTTGGAGAACGGTATCACAGGTTGACAGGCGACATCCTGATCGGTTCTGGGGTGGTGGCGTACCTCGGCGTTTTCACAATGCAATATCGACAGCGGCAGCTGGAGAACTGGGTGGCGTTGTGCACAAATCTGAAGATTGTCTGCACTCAGGATTTCCAGCTCACGCAGGTGCTGGGCGATCCGGTGCTCATCCGCTCGTGGAACATCTTCGGTCTGCCGAGCGATCTGTTTTCCATCGACAACGCCATCATCGTCACAAGCTCGCGCCGCTGGCCGCTGATGATCGATCCGCAGGGTCAAGCGAATAAGTGGGTGAAAAATATGGAGAAGGCGGCAAACCTAAATATTATCCGGCTCACGCAGCCGGATTACATGAGGATCTTGGAAAACGCCGTGCAGTTCGGGCAGCCGGTACTGCTGGAGAATATTGGCGAAGAGCTGGATGCGGCTTTGGAGCCGCTGTTGATGAAGCAAACTTTTAAATCTGGCGGCGCGCTCTGCATCAAAATCGGCGACAGCATCATTGAGTATTCTGAGAAATTTCGGTGCGTCAAATTGAAATGTCGGATAATATGAAGAATTTAAACAATTATTGTTTAAATTTTTAACGTTGATGTATTATAACAATTATCATTTTAATTAAGAATTAGTATTTATTATTATTTCAATGTCAAACACATCTAATTATTGAAAAGATTGCTAACAAAAGCTCACTTGCAACTTGCGCAGGTTTTACATAACTACGAAACTGCGGAATCCGCATTATCTGCCGGAAGTGGTGGTGAAGGTAACCTTGCTGAACTTTATGATCACTCCAGTCGGCCTGGACGATCAGCTTTTGGGTATAGTCGTCGCGAAGGAAAGGCCGGATCTCGAGTCCGAGAAGAATCAACTGATTGTTCAAGGAGCGGCTAACAAAAAGTATACTTTTATATTTTATACAATAAATCACACAATCGTAAAATTATTCTATCAAGCATAATTTTTCGACATTTGCTATTCGTAAAATGATTACCAATTTAAAAAAATATTTATATATTGCAATTTAATTATCAATTATTATTTCGAACATTGTCGTTGTTTTTAATTAATAAAGTCAATTGCCAAGAATTCAGACAGAATAGATTCCCTGTATAAATAAATTATAATTGAGAATCATTTCAGTTTTATTGGACGATAACTCGCAACGTTTTTTTCGCAGAATGTTAAAGGAGATAGAGAATAAGATTTTAGAGGTGCTGTCCGCGTCTAAGGAGAATATCCTTGAGGATGAAAGAGCCATCGCTGTGTTGAGCTCCTCGAAGAACCTGGCCAACGAGATTCAGACTAAACAGACTGCTGCCGAGATTACGGAGAAGTCCATCGACGCTGCGAGATTGCAGTACACGCCAATTGCAGTCTACAGCACTGTTCTCTTCTTCACGATTGGTGAGCGAAAATAAAAATAAAAGTGGCTTTTATTTCAGCTCACGGAAAAATTGCCTACATTGAACTCGTACTGATTTTACGTATTACATAAAATACATCAAATGAAATTGAGCATTGTACAAATTTAATATAATTACATTAAAAATTGACGAACTTATTGAAATAATTCTCATTTCTGCGATAAATACTGTTCTCGAAATAGTTTTCACAAAACTTGGCAAATTCGTATTAAATTTCACATATTATTTTAAACGTATTAATTCTATGAAAATTGTTACGAGGGCAGTATCTGTCGCAAAATATTTATTGCCAATATTTTCACAGCCATGCTGGCGAACATCGACCCCATGTACCAGTACTCCCTCGCCTGGTTCGTCAACCTCTTCAAGAACACGATCGACAATACGCCGCAGGTGGAGGGCATACAACAGCGTCTCAAGGATCTCACCAGATGCTTCACCTACTCCCTGTATGTCAACATATGTCGCTCGCTCTTCGAGAAGGACAAGCTGCCCTTCTCGCTCCTGCTGTCCGTGAACTTGCTGAACAAGCAGGGCCAGCTCTCGACGGTCCAGTGGATGTTCCTGCTGACCGGCGGCGTCGGCCTCGAGAATCCCTTCGTCAATCCCACGGAATGGCTGCCAACACGGTCCTGGGACGAGTTGTGTCGGTTGGACGCCGTGCCAGGATTTGCGGTAAACTTCCCCGAGTGATGCGAATCGATATTAGCGATTAAACTCCTGTCAAAGTTTAGAAATTTTTAACGAAATACTTCCGTAAAATGTTTTTGGAGGAATGAAAAAAAATTTGGAAAGTATTTTTATAAAAATATTTAAAAGTTCTCTTCGCAAAAAGAAGTATATAAATTTTTTGCATAAAAATTAACAAAATTTCTCCGTACAAATTAAATTTCGCTTTGTGAAAATCAATTAAACTCGTCTATGACAAATTCAGCGCGCAACTGCTTCATGAAATTTAATACAATTTCTCTGCAAAATTATCGCGGAACTTAATAAAATTCCCGATACAATAGTTAATAAATACAATTTAATAAAACTTCGCCATTTCACAGAAGCACAGAAATTTCATGTCTTTATTATGCAAGTCGTTTAAATCGCCTCTGTAGCGTGTTGCGAAATTCAACAATGCATTTTACGATGCAATAAAACTCCTTTATGACGTTCTCCATCTATTAGCATTTTATTAAAAATTTTATCGGGAGAATTCGTTAAAACGTAGAAGTGTGTGAATATTCCCCGCTGTTTTTTATGCAATTTGTATTTCCTCATTCAGGGAATAAAGGATTCGTGTACGCGCAGTATCGACGAGTGGAAGAGGGTGTTCGATCACAAGGAACCTCACACCATCCCCTTCCCCGCGCCTTGGAATAAACTGAGCAGCTTCGAAAGAATGCTGGTGCTACGTTGCATTCGTCCCGACAAAGTCGTGCCGGCGGTGCAATTATTCGTCCAAAGTAAAGCAGTCGGGAAGGAAGAGATAAAATAAAGGACACTACGGGTCTAGAAATAAATTGATTTGGATAAAAGAAAGTGCAGAGAATTTAGAACAATCCGTATATTGTGCGAAAAGGCAAAATTAAATTTTCTCCGCGCGACGGTGCAAAATACAGATTCTTTACATAACGTTATTTTCTAATTTTCCTCTCTTGAAAAACACGAGAGAAATTTGATATAGCTCGGGAATTTTTTTTTTTAATAAAAAATGTGAAAATTAAATTATTACTAATTTTTTTATCTCGACAGAGCAATTGGGACGTCAGTTCATCGAGCCGCCGCCCTTTGACCTGACGGCCTCTTACGCGGACTCGCACTCCTGCATCCCGCTGATATTCGTTTTGACGCCCGGCGCGGATCCTATGGCGATCCTGCTGAAATTCGCCGACGATCAGGGCTTCGGCGCCAGCAGGCTGTTCTCGTTGTCCCTGGGCCAAGGGCAGGGCGCCATCGCCGAGGCTCTCATCGACGAAGGCGTGAAAAATGGAACTTGGGTGGTGCTGCAAAACTGCCATGTCGCCAAGAGCTTCATGCCCGTCTTGGAAAAAGTAATTTCCTTGAGAAATTTACGCTCGAGTTATCGCAATTAAAAAAATATTTAAAAAAGATACTTTAACGCATTTTAACCTGTGATTTTTTAAGATTTATTAAAGATTTTAATTGAGACTTACTCGAAAATTTATTACATCTAAATTTGAAAAGTACATTAAATTTAAATTTCGGTTAAACCGTATTTAAACAAATCTATTTTTCTCATGAAGCATTTGTAATTATTAATAAGTTTCCTTTTCTTTTTTTCTTATTCTTCTGCATCGTGTTTAGATATGCGAGGGCTTCACGAAGGAGACGGTGCACCCCGACTTCCGGCTGTGGCTGACGAGCTATCCATTCGAGCACTTTCCGGTCAGCGTCCTGCAGAACGGCGTGAAGATGACGAACGAGCCGCCGAAAGGACTGCGCGCGAACATTACGCGATCCTTCAACCAGGTAAAAAATTTGTTCATCCTTGAAGAAGATCAAATACGAACGCATTAAGACCTCATTAAATGTTGCGGCAGGACCCGATATGCGATCCCGACTTCTTCGACACGTCGAAGCAGCGCGAGACCTTTAAGCAGCTGCTCTTCTCGCTGTGCTTCTTTCATGCCGTCGTGCAGGAGCGCCGGAAGTTCGGGCCGATCGGCTGGAACAATCAGTACGAGTTCAACGAGACGGATTTGCGTATTAGCGTGCTGCAGCTCAAGATCTTCCTCGATCAGTACGACGACGTGCAGTTCACCGCGTTGAAGTACCTGACAGGTATTTTCAAACTTTTCTCTTTCCTCGCTTATGCTCTTATTTATTCTGCGTGAGAAATGTGCTCGGCAGATATTTTAAAATTACTGCAGAAATACGAAAGTGATGATTTTAATTACATCTAAAATTAAGAGAAACGTTTCATTCGAAACGATGAAGCTTCACCAAGATGGCTGTGCACGATATTTAAAAAAAATGAGAAATAATTTGTATAAATAAGAGTATTAATTAATATTAAAAATAGAGCAAGCGATTGAAGGGAGAGATTCGGGAAGTTAGTGAAATATTAATAAACGATAATTGGCGATTAATGTAATAATGAGCGGTGGTCCTAATTGGCGCGGCCCTCGGTATTCTTTAATCCCTCCTTTTTTTTTCGAGGCGAGTGCAATTACGGCGGTCGCGTGACTGACGAATGGGACCGGCGTACCTTGAACACAATCCTCGCGCGGTTCTATCACGAGGACGTGGTCCAGGCCGACCGGAAATACCTGTTCGATCCCAGCGGCCTTTATTACGTGCCGTCGGTCAGCGAGTACGGTCAATTCTTGGATTACGTGAGAGAATTGCCGATGATCACCGCGCCCAGCGTCTTCGGTATGCATGAAAACGCCGATATTATCAAGGATCAGCAAGAAACGTACTTAATGTTGTCCTCCGTCCTAGTGACGCAGGTACTAAATCAAATCTATTCAATTCAATTATTATGCTCTCGCCGACGTTTTTTTTTTTGTGGATAAAAAAGCGTAATATTTAATGCAGCCATTTTATCATGAAAATGAAACATTGATGGTGTATCATTTAGTATATGAATTTGTGATATGCTAATTATTAATTATTATTGCGTTTGAATTTGAGTGGCATTTAATTATGGTATATGTTTGCAGTAAATTTTATCGCCTTGTGTTTTCTCAAAAGCGAGAATTTGATATTTATTTTCAAGAATTTAAAATACGGATTTGTTTTTGGATTTGTTTTCTAAACATTTCTTATCTTTGTTTAATTAATTTTTTATCCCTCCGATATCAAGAAATAATGTGAATTCTTGTTGTCTTTTCATCTCCGCGCAGAACGCCGAGGAGTTCAAAGTAAGTAACGTTTACTTAGGAAAGCCTTTCTCCGAAGTAGAAATAACGATAACGCTCAATTTTCAATTAACCAAGGAAATAGAGGAAGAAAGTAATATCCGCGCCAATGCTGAAAAATTCTCAACTGCGAACATGCAAACATTTGTATTAAGTTAATTGCGAAAGAAGCGAGCTGTAAAATTTTAACTTTTTATCATACAAAAACTGTGTTTTATCATAATCTCTGCGATATTAAAAACGGGAAAGTAAGCGAAAAAAATTATATTAAACATATAAAATAAACAAAGAAAATTTATACGGCGAAACATCGATTCTACGAAATAGACAACGCTATTAAATTCCAAGTTATTATCCTTCAATTTAAGTTAAACGACATTTATTTAGCTATCGGGACACCTTAATCGAATTAAATCGGTGCGGTCCGGCGACCTCATCAAAAGTTTGTGAATCGCGCTAAGGAGATTTTCTGATTTTCTCCGCCAGGACACCAGCGGCCAGGCTGAAGTGGATCCCGGAAAATCGCCGGACGAGATCGTCTACGGTGTTTCGTCCGACGTTTTGTCGATGTTGCCACAGGATTTCGATTTAACGGCGGCGCTGAATAAATATCCTACATTATATCAGCAGAGCATGAACACTGTGCTGGTGCAGGAGATGGGCAGATTCAACAGGCTCCTGCAGACCATCAGAGACAGCCTTGTGAATATCCAGAAGGGAATTAAAGGTGAAAAATAATAACAAGAATCATTGCTAGACATTGCGGACATTTTTTACAATTTTGTTTGAATTGTAAAGGTTTGGTAATCATGAGTCCTGATCTCGAGGAGGTTTACTCGTCGATCATCATCGGCAGGCTACCCAAGATGTGGATGCAAAACTCTTATCCTTCGCTGAAGCCGCTCGGCAGCTATATACACGATTTTCTAAAGAGGCTAAATTTTTTGCAGGTGAATATAAGAGAAAATATGGTAACGTAAATATTTTAAAGACATTTTCAAGATATTTTTATGTGTGGTTTAATTAATAGATTACTTAAAAATCATCTAGAATTAATAATCACAAATTTCGGTAGATATCTTTTACATTGCAAAAATTTTGACTGCTAAAAGTTATTTTTTAGCTATCAATAACGACTAAAATAACAGGAAATTTTGTCTCTTTAGACTTGGTACGTAGAAGGTCCGCCCATGTCTTTCTGGATTTCCGGTTTTTACTTTACACAAGCGTTTCTGACGGGCGCTCGGCAGAATTACGCGCGAAAATACTCCATTCCCATCGATCTGCTGGTCTACGATTTTTTCCCGTTGAAGGACACCGTTTTCGAAAAACCGCCGGACGATGGAGTATACATTTACGGATTGTTTCTCGACGGGGCTCGCTTCGACATAACCACGATGAAGCTTGACGAGTCCTTGCCGAAGATCCTTTACGATATTGTGCCTTATGTAAGCCAGTATTCATAAAATTTATGATGATTTTGAATAAGAATCGATAGATTACTTTTTAAGAAGATGTATTTTTCTGCAAAAACAATTTGGTTTAAATTGTTTCAGAATGTAAATAAATGTTAAAAAACACTCGAAGAGAGAAAAATTTCAAAGTTAAATTTGTTTTCAACTTTCAACAAAAAACATGATCAGCAAAAATAAACAATTATAAATTAAGCTAAAACTTTCGTTGGGAATTTAATACTCTGTATTTTCAGATAAAAATAATTATTAATTCTGTTACTCTAATGAGACAAACGCAGATTACACGCTGGACTTTATTAAAGTCCGAGATTGCCAATTAAAAATACCATTTTGCCTTTCTCTGTATCACTTTTATTTTTTTTGTTTTAATAATTTTTAGCTAATTATAATTTTATGCAATTTGCACATGTTATTTATTTTATTGAATTTTCTAATATTTTCTCTTTTAGCTCTACAGTACTTTTTCCTGGAAAATTTCTGTCTCTCTCTCTCTCGAGATATTTCTTATTTCTTTATTTGAATTGAACGACAAAGCTTTAAGTCTCACTCTCTGACGGAAGCTACGTCTCCTGCATCGTTAACGACGCATTAATCTCGCATTACGTTTTCAGATCTGGTTAATGCCGGTGACGAAGGACCAGGTGCAGGATGAGGGCACGTACACGTGTCCTGTCTACAAGACCAGCGAGCGAAAGGGCGTTCTGTCGACCACCGGCCACTCAACTAACTTCGTCATCGCGATCTGGCTGCCGACGTCGCATCCGCCGGAGCATTGGATCCTGCGAGGCACCGCTATGCTGTGCCAATTGTCGGAATAATTCATGATCAATCCTACAGTCGAGGAAGTTTTTAAACGACTGGAAATTTTAACGAACTCAACAAATACAAGCCACTGTAACTATATATTTTTTATGTAATTATTGTGAAAAATCTCAAGTTTAATAATTAATCTTTTTAAGTTCTATATATTTATATACTTCATGAGGATAAAATTCATTTAATATCAGAGTTGAGATGAAGAATGATGCGCAAATTATAACAAATTTATAGAAATTTATAGATCTTTTATCAAATATTCCATTTAATAAGAAAGAAAACTTATACAAAGATTGCGATATCATTATATTTACAGGATTTCAAGCAAGTAAAAAGAAATATGCAGTAATGGTCTATAAACAGCATCAACTTTCGTCATTCTCGGAACAAATGAAATATCTATAATACATTCGTCATAGCGCAATGAAAATTAATACATTAATATTTTTACTTTTAATAAGCATTTACTTCTAGGACGTATTTTACAATAATAAATACCATTTCCACGAAATCAAAATACCATCGTTATCAGAATTCTGCGTAAACGAAAGCAAATCAAATTTGCCACACAAATTACTGCGTAAGTAGCATCAACGTTCGTCAGACTGCTACTCGAAGAAGAGATCTCTACAAAGACGACGTCGCGGAACGCGAATGGAGCCTCTGCCTCACGCGGCTGCCTCTTTCGTTAATTAAACTCGGGAATTCTCGTCGAATTCTCGTCGATCTCCCTTTTCCGCCGTCGTCGTCGCCGTCGTCGTCGCCGTCGTCGTCGTCGTCGTCGTCGTCGTCGTCGTCGTCGAGCGCCATTTTCGCCGGTGCTTCTCCTTTCGCGTTTATCCTGCGTTGCACAGTTGCCGGTATTTATTATGTGGGATGTGGCGCTTTCGGAGCGGGCGAGCGCGGTGAGGCGAGGGGGGGGGAGTTCAAGCCAGAGGGGGTTGGCGGGGTGGCTACGAAGCGGCGGCACCCTGTCTACCCGGACCGAGATCGCCGGAGGCTCGTTGCCTAGCGACCCCGTATTGATCTCACCCCGTATCTCGCCGCTGCCGTCCCCGCCGCTCTCTCCATCATCTCTTTCCCCTTCTCTCTCTCTCTCTCTCTCTCTCCCTCGCTCGACCGTCATCCCTCTCCGATTACGTTGCTCGCCCGATTATTACGCGTGGAAACGTATTTCTCATTGTATAATTTTACAACGCCGCGCGATGCTCCTCGCTCCAGAACATCCGATGCAGTCGCCCCCGCGAAGAAGCGAATGATTATTTCTCTCTGTTTACCGTTCCCTCTCCGCCCCTCCCGCCCGGAACTTCTCCGTCTCTTTCTCCGGTCTCCGCGGAGTTTCCTTAGTCAGGTGTTTCATGTTTTCGCAGAATTACGCATTTTCGCGGAAGAGCTGATCAATTTGCAATTACTTAATCCATGTAATTTGTAATTTGAGAAGTCATTAGTTTTTATCAATTACACTTTGCGTCTCTCTCCAATTTTTATCTACCACTCGCTACTCTTTGTTTAATTTTCGAGGCTACTTATTTCTATTATTCATTTACTCCAGCTTGTTTCTCTCTATTTGCTCTTTCCCTTTGTACTTTCTTTCTCGTTTTTACTTACTCCCATTTATTTAATCGTTCTTCTCGAGCAAATATACGGTCGTTCGAATTAAACTGCTACGCAACCCTGAAGAAAATATGTGATTATACTCGTTGCAATTTCATAAAGTGCAGCCCGCCTTCTTTCCGTACTTTTGCCCTCACCTTTTCCTCTTTGAAGAATTTCTTTCGCTTCGCGATGTCGCGTAGATTCGTCCGAGGTCCAATTAAACCAACTGTGCGCAAATGGAAGCTGTTTCCTTCGAAACGCACGATAATACTGCCATTATTCATTACATTCTTGCCCCTTCTATTTGTAGTCGTGCAATATAATGTGAGAATCTTGATTTAATGCATTGTTACTCTTATTTGAATTTCTTTAATGTGTTCCATAATTTTGATCTTATTTCAAATTTAAAAACTATATAAAAAGAATTGTTAGATGCAAATTTAATGAAGACAAATTTTCGAATTTTAGAAAACTTCATAAAAACTGATATTCCATGAGAGAAATTTCGGTCAAACAATATGAAAGTAATTAAATTTGCTTTAAATTGTCGCACGACACAATTTATCCTAATACATATCTTTCCAAGCAAATAATTATTAAGAGAAAAATATTTGCAAACCTTTGGAAAACGGCGCTTGCAGGCTCTCGCCAGCCGCCCTGCCGTCAGAATCGGCACGATCAAAGGGTTAATAATCGCGTTAACAGCCAATCGACAGCGATTGCGATCGGCCGAGGTCGCCTAAGAACACATCGCTTGAATGGAAGTCAGGTTTTCCTCCCCTTTCGGCCCCGATACAAGCCCGGAGGAGGGTTGCGCGGGGTGAAAACTCACCTCCCTCCCAGCGTTTCGCGTGCACGGATCCCCCTCGTCCCCCTCTTCGAGACTCTCTTCCTATTGGCAAAGTGACCTTCATCTGAATTTCTTTGTTGCGCCTACACTTTGGCGGGTCGATGGGGCGAGGAGATTCGCGGCGTTTAGACAGCCGGGAGAAATGGTAGCCCGTTTTACTTTTACCTTCGACGAGCGAGAAGCACGAGCGGATCAGACACGCAGAAACGAATGGCGATTTCCGGCGAATAGCGCGGCGAGATCGCTGCCAATTTCGGGGCAACAGGTGACGCATAAAGCGAACGGTAATCAGATGACAAATAATTTTACCAAAGTTTCCGTAGCAAACTTTGCACTATTTTTCATTATTTTTGCATTCTTTTTACTAATTTGTTGACAACGGTGAAATGATAATTAAATAAAAGTAAAGTTTGAGTTGAAGCAAAATTGTTCGGAATAAATTAAAAATTGTATATTTATCGTGCGCCTGCATTTAACGTGGATCTTTATTTGTTTCCGATGTTTACAGGAGTTCTGTTTTGTTTTTTAATTCCGGATTCGCTGATTATGTAGCTTGCAACAGGTGGCAAAATAATTATCATTATCGAAAGTTCCCGGGATATTTGCGGATTGCAACTCTTTGTGGAAAGTTTACGCAATATCTCATGTATAATTAATATTCCTGTCTACTTGTGAAATAATTACGCAGTTCTTTTTCATGAAAGCGATAAGAGAATTTTGCATGATTTATGTTGACAGATGCAGATTCATCTTCGATGTAATTTTGTCCTTTTTCATAAATCATAAGAGAATAATACTGAAAGGAGGAATAAAGGATCACATTAGTTTTCATACGGCGATCAATCTCTCTGCCATTTAGCTAGTTTCTTAAGTCTTCGTCGGGCAAAACTGAATAGAAAGAGATGAATAGCTACAGGTATAATTTTTATTAAGACGAATGAACGTGTTAACAAAAGAATTTAACGTTATATCATCCAATTATGACGAGTTCAAAAGCGTCTAAATTAGACTTTCAACGATAAAGAATAATGACGTAAGTTTTTATTTGGTTTTTGACTATTGAATCTTCTAAAAAATTAATTAACAAGCTTAAAATTGCGTCATTTTTGCTGTAATTAATATTCAATAAAAAATTATTATCGTATTAATAAAATGCAAATTAAAAACTTTTTATTATTCACACACAGTTTGTTCAATTAAAGGAAAAATGATTTGACATTTTCACAATTCATAAATGTTTGAATTATAATAACAAAAATAATAGTTTCAGGACTTGTGCTAGGAAGAAAGGACTCGCAACAAATCATTTCACGCATACACTTTATTTCTCATGGTTGTTCTAATAATAATTTATAATATAGTTTATAGAGCTTTCTTTTTAGCGTCACTCTAATTTTTTACGTAATATTTACAATATTATACATTTTCTTTTGAGTGGACATTATTGCGAATAATCCTTAATTATTAACTCACTTATCTTTAGAAATTTAGAATTTTCGAATTTGTTAAATCTCTTTGAAAAATATATTTGCAAGAGATCTCCCTTGAAACTTTAAAATTCTCAGAATTCCAGTTTTTTAAAGATTTTTTCGGAATATTGATTTCTACATGATTTTTGGATCTCCTGTTTGAAATCTCTTCCTTAATTGTTACATTTTACAATTTATATATCCTTAAAATCTTAAGATTCTGTTTAAACATAGAATTCACTTCTAAACTTGTTCCTCTCGTTTTTCATAAAATTTCGCAATACCGACTTCTAGAATTCCTCTCAACTGCGCAATTTCCAGCTTCCGATATTGATCCAGATTGGTGGATTCCAGGATTCTCCTGGAAAAAATACACATACGCGCACACACTCACATACACATACATTTGACGGAAATCACGACGAATCGAGAGAGCGAGACGTCGGGGCGTGATTATCGATCCTGAATAATGGCGGACGTGCAACAACGACAACAATGATCGTAGAAGTCGTCGATGGCGACGGTGGTGGCGGCAGCGGCAGCGGCGGCGGCGGCGGCGGCGGCGGCGGTGGTCCAGAAGGGATGCTGCGGGTAGGTTGCCAGGCAACGTGCGTCCACCCTTAAACCGCGCAGCATCCCCACCGCCGTGGCCACCGGCATCTCTCCCTTCGCCGCCCTTTCGTCTCGGTCGATACAACCGACAGCCGTTCCTCCGCGTCCTCTACGCCCCCGGGAATTCCCCCGATTTCCATTTAGGGGCTTTTCGCCTTTAAACCCGACCTCGGCAACCCCCGTCCATCGAGGGACGCTCGCTTTCCACCATGTACCGTGTCGGCTATTCTACTCCCTCCCTTTCTTTTTTTACCTCGACACTTGACGCGCCTGACGGGAGAAAATCAGGAATCCAGCCTAAACCTAATTCTTGATGCTCGACAAATTCATTTCTTCGGTTCCTAATCGAACAGGAATATTAGTGCTTTGCGTCAATGAGTGAAAGGCTTTAGATAGTTTAAAGAGATCTTTCTGTTAATGAAATAATGTGCGTAAGGTTGTTTAATCCTTTTGTGAAATTTAGTTTATTAATGTGGAGTCTTTGCAAATATTATATAAAAAGAGAAACATCATAAAAGTAATATTATAATAACAATGTTTGATTAATGCATAAGAATTTCCTACTGACATTGTAAAAATGTTATAAAAAAGATTATTTATAGTTAGAGAAGTTAAAAATATTATTTAAACAAAGGATAACATCACACTTTGTAGATTCTGGGATCAAAGCAATTTCAGTAGGTAAAGACAACGATGGTACGGCAAAACTGGAAAACGTCGTTTTATTAAGATAAAATATTTATAAATATTTTAAACTGTCGAAAAATTTCGATACTAAAATACAAACTATAGTTTGAAGAATATGTTTGATTAATTAATTCAGAGAAAAGCCAGATAACGGAAGAATCATCTATCAAATTTACGCCTCTAATTTGCAGAG